GTGGCTTGGTTTCATTCACAGCTAGGATCTTCTGAGTTACCATGGACTGGCTGACTGCAAATGGCTCATGCAATTTTGGTGCTACAATATTAGTACTAGTCTCCACTTTATATTGTCCTCTGCCATCCAACACGACCTGTCCTTCCACTGTAGCAGACAATGTTCCTTTGCTCTCCAAGTGTCCAGAGGAATGTCGACTTGCTTTGCCAACCACCAACCCATCACAGGGGTCGGAAGAATTCCTATGGACACCAGGAACTTTGCCAGGGCAAACCACAGCAAAGTCCACCAAGAACTTCGGCACTGATTCAGACACATTATTTCTATCAGCAATATCTTGCATAATCAAGTCCATTGCTCTACCTTTGCCTTTAGGGCTTAACTCATAAGCATTCACAGGGTTATTTATAACTATGTGTCCCATTGATAAAGGTCTTGGGCGCCTTCGGTGCATTTTAGGGCTCATGCTTGGCTCCGGGCTTGGCAGTTTGGCATAAGAGCCTGTGAGGCTCCTGATAATGCTACTGTCACGATCCAATGTAGAAGTATTTTTATATTCTTCATCTGAATCTGAATCCACCAGCGGGGGTGTTCCAACTCTCATAGGTATATCCACTTTAGAAAAACTGGATAAAGTTGACACACTTGTGTTATTTGTGGGAGTAGAGGCACCTTGGAGAATTGTATTTGATTTATTAAGACTGGGTTTATCAAGTGTCGCAGCAGTGCAATTTCTGCCTGTAAGCTTTGCTCTCTCTTTCACAGAGTCAGTTGTTTTAACTGCATCATTTTCTTTATCTGAATTACTTTCATTCATACACCTTTTTGAATTACTTCTCGAGCTACGTCTGGTTTGTTCTTTCTCTACGTACTCCCTAGATTTTTTCAGAAGGTTCTGAAGACTCAGTGCATAGGGATCTTGAACTTCCTCATCAGACAGTGGCACTCCTGCCCTGTCCAGGTTTTGCAAAGCCTGTGAAGCAAGTCTATTATTCACGTTCACGCTGTCAGAAGACACGGCCTTCAGACAAGGTGTGTCTTTTGAGAAGTGACTCTCAGTTGGCTTCGAAAAAACATTTTCTTCTACAGCTTTAACTGTTTCTGTCACACTTGATGTCACCTGTCCAGAGGCATCCGATGACATTATTTCTGGTGTCTTTTCAAGCTCTGTGGAACCATGCCTTTCAGGAGAATGTGACAAATTGACATCTGACAGAGGTGCAAAGTCAGTCAAGGCTTCTGATTCTGAATCACGGCAAGTATTCTCAGCCTCCCACATGTTCGAGTCACTCACACCAGATGCTTTCCTGATCTGCAAATAAAAATTGAATAATATCACATATTTTAGGTGAAATCTCTTCTGATTTTCATATTATTGTCACCTGCACGTCACCTGCACTTAGAGCAGAATGCTGTTATCTTAAAAACAATAAAAACGTCCAGTTCAGCTGCTACCAATTATCTGCAAATTACTTGTAACACAGAGCCCTTTGAAATGAGAAAAAGGTAATTGAAACTAAAATATAAATTTGAATAGTGGTCCACTCAGACTTTTTAGTGATACCGAGGATCTGAATTCAAAGATGTTCTCTTCTTCACAAGGTAATTTGGTATTCTTCAAATAATTCTATGACTTCAAATTATCTTGCAAGATTCCTCTTAAAATACAAAAACATTTTTATATGAAATAAGAATAATTGAAAAACTTCAGCAATGAATACACCTTAACCTAGTGCTTAACTAAGAACAAATCAGAGTAATTCCTAGTGAAACTAGTGGGACTGTAAGAACATTTTTAAATTTCTTTACTTAACCCAGAGTCACAAATTACGAGTTTTCATTACTCCTAGCAAGCATTTGACAATAAAGACTTTCACACTAAAAATAAAGGTTATTCTGTGTGATTCAACTCAATTATCAAGGGGGCACCCTTAAAAAAAAGCTAACTTATTTTTGTATTGAGCATAGGTTCCTGGTCTGCTCTTCAAATCCCAAGTCAGAGGACCGTTGCCATGTGCACTCCAGTAAACAGTACAAACTGAGTAAGGCGTTTGGCCCCTTAGTAACTCAACAAATCCAGTGTTAACTGTATTTGTTTAATCAATAGGTTAGGGTAAAGGCTGTATTACAGCTCTGCTAACAAAGCTAAATTTTACTGTTTGATTAGATATATTTAATAGTCTTTTCACTTTAAACCTCTAAGCTCATCATTGCGGAAGCAAAGAAAACAAAAGTTGCAATAAAGTTATAAAGGGAACAACAGAATTACAAGTTGTTGCAAAGGTAATTTTACTTCTGTAATTGTAAAGCTGAATATAGGTCGTTTTCCAATTAAATTACATGCTTGCAAATAAGGCAAACTGGTTGCTCTAACACTAGGGGGGTTCTTTTGTTTGTTTGACAGTTTAGTTATTTCAAACACAGTTACAAAAGCCAAGAGTCAGTCATTTGGTGTGGTCTGTCAAAATAAGCAATGAAAAGCAAATCCCATACTATAAAAGTGAACTCACAGGCTGTTGCTAAATAACGGGTCAGGTCACATAGCATGAAATAGTAGCAAACGCTGGTTCAGGAGAATTAACTGTTAATAACTTCATGTCTGTACTAGTGAATACTTAAACCTCAGTAATTTCTCAAAACGTACAGTCAAAGATGTTTTTTCAAAAGCTATAAGGATTTGGATCAACTTTACCTGAACATTTTCTAGAATCTCCTGAACACGATTCAACAAAGTTCTCTTCTTGGAGTTCTGTCTCCAGATCTCTAAATCCAGTGCTTTTTGTTTGTCTTGCTGTATTTCCTTTTTCTTTTCAAGGCTAAGCTGCAAAGCAGTGTCAGAAATACAGCTTATATTACTAAATGCAAATTTCAACACAGAACTACAGAAATTAATTATAGAGAAAAAAGTAGATATCAAAACTACCTATGTTGAGACTCTGTACACTTTAAACGACACTCTTTTTAAGCAGTAATACTTTTTTTCTGGAGGACGCACAAAATGCCTTCATAGCATACATGTAAACGAGCATGGATCTAAAAGAACATATATTAATGTCTCCATGGGCGCTATATGCTACAGTACCAACTTCAACAGGGCTTGGACTACAGGAAAGGTCTTTCCCAGTCCTCTATGGAGATGCGGGTTTCAGCATTGCGTACAACCCTCTGTGACCAGTCTGCCTACTTGTACTCCAACTAGTAAGTTTTACAAAAGACTTGCACTGGCCCTCTTGAATCAGAGGTGAATCACATAATCAGACAGCAAGCCTAAATAGAAACGTATGCCACATTCCTCCAGATCCTTTCAAAAAATCAAAATCTCAAAATCTTCTGAGTTATTACTTTAGAATGTGTCGTTTGGATAAAAGTTTAAATAAACCTACAAATCTAATTCTATAAAAGCTAGTTCCATAAAGTTTTAAAGAGTTAGGTAGTCTCAAGTCACATTATACGTTTTTTTATAAGAAAACTTAAAAACATACACCCATGCATAAAGGAAACATATATCAGAGATCTAACTGATACATTGGAGACTAAATGATATCTTGCAATATGTATCTGTATCACGTTTTTTGGAATTAGTTATTAGCTAGTCTCTCCTTTCATATTTCATGTCACTGAAACAGGGAAGTCAGACTGCGTTATTATACAAATGATCAACAGCTTTTTTGCCTTTCTTTTAGCTCTGCTTAGATTAAGCATAGAATGACTTAATATAATTGATGAGCATGTGAAAGACATTAGAGGAGACTGCAAATGTATGAGAACAGTAAATTTACTTAAAAGCTTTTTAGCTATCTCAGTATTTCCTAATTCACTGCCACTTTATTTTTCATATATTTTGTGTGCATATATATATAAAACATATAAAATATATATTTAAATCTCAGACATCAAAGCTAGTGCCAATCGCGTAGTTAACACACGCACACAAAAACAAACCAAAACCCAAACAACAGCAACAACAACAGAATCCTCTTACCAGAGGGGAAAGCACAGGAACTCCATGGAACTGGATGAGTGAGATATTTTTGTGTGGAGCCCTGGAAGAGGTTTCACTTTTTATTGCCTCTTCTTGGATTCTGGAAAAATGCTTCTCGCAGAACTTTTCATAGTCCTCCATCTTCATGTAACTAAGCTGCACAGAGTAATAAAAGCATGCTACTGTACTAGCAAGACCATGAAGGGGAAAACACCACCACAACTAACCCAAAGTTGTTATTTCTTTATCACTTTATCTGGAAACCAATTATAAGTTAGAGGACTCAATTAAGTCTCTCTATTTTCTATCACAAATAGAAGCTGCAAAGCTGTTTTTTTTTCCTTATAAATAGAAAATCCGCATATATTAGTAAGAAAAAGATGTTCCATCACGTGTACACTGAGAAGAAAACTAGCACTGAGGTAGTCAAGATTTACAAAACTACAGCTGCTACAGAGAACCTCCCAAAAACATCAGAGATTAAACCTTTGAGGTCTCCCATCACTATCACTTTTATCTAAAAAAAAAAAAATCGCAGCCAAATAAAAAAAAAAGAAGAAAAACAGGTTTTTAAAGCAAGATCAGCCTTCGTATCTAAGGGGTTGAGACGAACCTGCTCTTGACGCCCAGGTGCTGGCCGTCACCCCGGGATACGCTCTAGCACGCCCCACGCTCCCATCGGAAACGAACCGGCCCAGCACAGAGCAGTCGCCTTTGAAGACCGCCACACCTCGCGCGGCCCGGCCCC